GACCATTTGTTCCAAATCGAAGTCTGGCTGGAATTCGATTTTTATATTGATCATTTTATAATTACCTTTAAAATTATGTGATTATTTAATAATAATGTATGGTTGTAAATTCGTATTGCTTAGGTTCGACTTCCTTGACTACATGATGCGTGTGATAGAAGACGATAAAACTGTTTACGGGCCAAGTTTAAACCAATTTCCACAAGAGCTCAATGTTGGTCATCTCTCTGCCGGTACTCTATGGACGCTGTACAAAATGGATTTGAAAATGGCACTTGAAGGTGCGTTTTGTTATTCTAAGCCTGAGAAAATGCCCATGTAGGTGCCTGTGTGGAATAGGTGAACCTCAAAACATTCTTGTCAATTAGTGATGCTAGATCATCGCGAGGTTTTTTAAGGCCAGCGTTAAGCTTTTTCAACCACACTCGTATTTCTTATTTGCATCTAATTCTTCTTACTGTGTTTAAAAATTATTTCGAATGGACTAGTAACGCTTTTATACTTGAAATTTGAAACGTTGTACGGATTCTTTTGGCTCATTTGGCCATTTGTTCCAAATCGAAGTCCGGCTGGAATTCGATTTTTATATTGATCATTTTATAATTACCTTTTAATTATGTGATTATTTAATAAAAATGTATGGTTATAATTTCGTATTGCTTAGGTTCGACTTCCTTGACTACATGATGCGTGTGATAGAAGACGATAAAACTGTTTACGGGCCAAGTTTAAACCAATTTCCACAAGAGCTCAATGTTGGTCATCTCTCTGCCGGTACTCTATGGACGCTGTACAAAATGGATTTGAAAATGGCACTTGAAGGTGCGTCTCCGTTTTTTTTAGCTGAGAAAATGTCTATGTAAGTGGCCGCGTGGGTTAGGTGAACCTCAAAACCTTCGTGCCAATTATGAGCTTGAATCATCGCAGAGGTTTTCTAGGCCAGGCGGTGTACTTTTCAACCACACTATGTTTATTCACTTTTTTGCATAGTTTTTTCCTGTACTCTGGGTAGCCAAGTAGTTCCAGGGTTCACCACATTTTCGGGGATTTTCGGGGTGTTATAAGTGTTTTATTCTATTGAAGGCACGCTCCGGGATTAGGCGCGCTTGCCTGTTCCATCCCGGGGGTAGTAGACAGGCGGACAAGCGTTGATGTCGCGCCCCTTTTGCCGCTTGAAAGTGCGCGACAAAGGCGCAAGGAGCTCGTCCGACCCGCAACTCACACCTTCGTCCGCAAGCCCCACCCTCCGCTGTCGGTTGCCACGTGGCGCTGCTTGAAAAGCGCGGGCGCATTTGAGGCAGCGGTCCCATTGCGATCCAATGTCATTGGCACTGGAGCAACTAGAGTTAGGTTCGTGAAACTCGTCCAATTCGCCTCTTCTCTATCCCAAGGTGGAATGTGGCTGAAATAGGGGAGGTCTCTGTGCGGGGCGTAATCGGTGGTTTCGTTTGCTTTCCTTCTCTTTTACAGACCACCTCCCACCTCTAGCTTCATAACTGAACGCTTTTCCACACCTATTTTATCCCGAATCTTGCCTTTATCACTTTGAGAGATCCCGAAGATTGGATTTTGATACACTCTGATACTCGTGTGAAATTTTATTATTTTAAGAGCACGCAACAACGAAGAAGTGCCCAACACCGGAATACATGAACTTGTACTTCAAAGTGAAAGGATTCTACTTCAAATATGTCTCCGACCTGCCGCAGTATAAACAATCAATTCCGGAGTTCCCAGCGTGAGTTTGCTATATTTGATTATTCATAATCCCACGATTATAAATTGTTGACCCGCTCTGCTACTATTTGTTATGTAATCTTAACCGTTTGCTGAGAAAAAGAAACATATAACTGCTTAAAGGAGGAATTCACGATAAGAATGAAGGTCGAAGAAAGGGAAATTCACCTAGTTGAGGAGACCCGGCGGACCTCCTGAGGGTGCGGACTGACGCGCAATTGGCAGCGAAAGATTTGACCTCGGCGACCTAGCATGGCTCACTCTTGGCGCGGTTGGCGGGGTACGCCCACCGACCATCTAATCACTCGCCGCAGGTCTATACGTGGCGAGTGATTAGATAGCAGAGAGCGTAGTGTTGAAGAGGGCACAGCGATGAGAGTCGCATCAATGCTCAAATCAACGGGCAAGGAAGGGGTCCCATTTCTCGGGTTCTGGGCCGTTTCTCATGGTTCTTCCTTCTTTCGTGTACCACTCACCATCCCTAAGTTAATTTGAAATGGGTTGCCTTTCAGCGTGAATTCGTCCTTTAAAGGGGATTCCACGATAAGGGCGAAGGTCGAAGAAGGGGATACTTACCTAGCGGAGAGACAGGTGGACCTCCTAAGGGTGTGACACGCAATTTCACAGGATATGCCCCCAGCGATCTAGCATAGCTTTCCTCGCCATTTGGCCCGCTGTTGGCCCGGTACGCCCGCTCTCGTGTGTCTCGTATCTGAGTCTCTAGTTGTTAAGAAGAAAGAGCGACGTTTTAGAGGGCGGAAGCGATGGGAATCACATCAATGCGCAAACCAGCGAGCAAGGAAGAGGTCCCATTTCTGGGGTTCTAGATCATTTTTTCGGCTTTGTCTTTTTCTTGCATCACTGGCCTAACTAACCTGATTCCCAACTGTCTTTTCACCGTAAAATCCGCCTCAAACTGATCATGGTAGTGCGGTTTCTCAATTAAATGTTTATTGCAATTTCTAGGTGGTTTTATTCCATTCGTCATGGATTGGCTGAACGAGAACGATGAACATTCGATGGACATTCTGCGAAATGCTTACAATAGGTAAGGGGTAATTATTGAATGATTCGAAGCCGTTGAAAAATGAAGCTCGCCTTCAGGGACAAAGCCTGACAACTTCCCTCAAACATCTGATCATACCCGCTTCTCCAACAGCGTTGTTGACGTGTTCACTCAATTGAACGAGGCATTGAAGCTGCTCAAGCAGGTTGGTAGTCTTTGAAAATGTTGCCAATGAGAGAGTAGTCAGTCAAACTTTGATCTTGTCATTTTACCTATTTTTTTATTTACTTTATTTATTTACTTATTTGCTTTTTATTTACTTGTCTGTTCATGCGTTCAATGACGCTTCATTGCAGATGGACTGCCCCAACCCGGTCGTTTATGCTGATATGATGAAACGATTCAGTAAGACTTTGAATAAGGTGAGCTTTGAAACTTTCTTGACCTCTTTAATTGTTATTCCTTATTCTTAGCGTCCCACTAGAGCAGCATGAGCCTGAATTGTTCTGTGATTACTCTTCTCTTTCGACTTGAATGGTATTTCGTAAAGTCAAAGTCGCAGTTCGCCGAGTATGAACGCAGTGTGAAGGTCTCTTTTCTGCAGGTTCTTCTCGCCTATGCTGACATGGTTCATAAGGACTTCTCCAAATTTTCATCGAATGAGAAGCTCGCCTGTATGAATCTCATGAAATAATGTGCAAGCAGCTACAGGTATGGGAAATTTGTGGCTGAAATTGGACAAAATGAAATTCATTATAAAAAGTACGTTCCGAACCTGTAATCTGAAAAATCGATGTTTCAGGGTCCAACTTGAGAAAATCTACGAAACAATGGGTGGTCAGGAATTGGATCCTACATGTAGTCAAGTTCTTACAAATCTTCAAAAGAAGCTCAACAGCGTATTGGACAAGCTGTCTGGCCAGGTAGGAGGAGTTTTTTTTTGTTTATTTATTTATTTATTTAGCTGTTTGTTTGTTTATTGTATACAGAGAGGATTTATATTTATTTCATGCATGCAAAAAGCGACATTAGCAATGCTTGTAGAAATCCAATTAATCTGTTCAGTTTGTGGCAACGCTTGAACCAATGATCCATGAACAAACGAACAAGCTTGGCGTGCTGCTTTCGAAGATCAAAGGACCTCAACTTCAGAAGACCCAAGTGGCAGCGGTGGGTGATTTTTGGTATTTTTTGGAGCTTTTTGTGAAGTTTCATGGTTACTCACCCTTTGCTCTCATTTTTTAGTAAATTTATTTCCATATTCACAGGAGGTGGATGCGGTATTGGAGCCTTTGATGGACCTTCTTGAAGGATCACTGCAACGGTACTTCCAGCAATGTGAGAAGACTGTCCTCAAGTACATCTTGAAGGTTAGTCTTTCAAAAGTATGATGGCGCTGCCTTAAAACCTAACGGTGATATTAATGCGAATCAACAATTTCAAACTTGGAGGTTTTATTCGAGAAAAAACTCAAAATTCTTGGGAACATGGGATTTTTTGGATTGTTTTGTAGTTGGACATTTCTGTTATTGAGAAGAATTAAAGTTTTCTGAAATTGTTGCGTCGTTCGATAAATTTTAGCAGAATATTAAAAAATGCCAATGTCTGCTGAAGTTTTTCTCTAGAAAAAAAATTTTAACTTGATTCTCGTTTATCCAGGAACTATGGAGGATAACAATTGTCAGCATGGAAAAATTGGTGGTGCTTCCTCCTCTCGCAGACAAAACGGTTAGTTTTATAATCCAATAACTATTACTATTATCGATTATAAGTCTAGTTGTTATTGTG